CTGTCTCTCGCTGTGTGTCTGGGCAGCGTCTGGCACAACGGGGCCCTGATCTCAGCTGGGTCAGGGACTGTCTCTCCCTGTGTGTCTGGGCAGCACCCGGCACAACGGGGCCCTGATCTCAGCTGGGGCAGGGACTGTCTCTCCCTGTGTGTCTGTGCAGTACCCGGCACAACGGGGCCCTGATCTCAGTTGAGGTTCACTGCTACAATTCAAATAAATGTAATTTTTTATTTTGAATTCAGAAATGGCTTCACCCTGTTTTGAAGGGTACTATTCTTTTTCTCCTGGGCTGAGATACTTTAATCTCTCTCTCTCTCTCTTTTTTTTTTTTTTTTTTTATTTTATCACCTTTTCCTGCGGGGTGTCAAGCCAAGCCAAGGAGGCACCAGGGGAAGAGCAGAAATGTTGGCTTGAAGTCCAGTCTGCTTCATCCTCAGAGAAAAGGTAACATTTTCCTTCGTACCCGATCCACTTTTCAGGGCAGCAGGTGGCACGACTGTCTGGAGGAGTCACACTGGCCTTTGACACTGAAAAGTAAAAAGGTGTAAGAGCATCTCTTTCTTCTCCCACCCCACCTCTGTATCTGCTGGGAATCAGAGGGCCAAAACCCTTCAGACATAGGTTTCAGAACATCTGATGTCTGCTGCAAGGAATTAAAAGCATCAGCAATAAAACAGCTGTACAGTGAACATGCTAATAAGAATACCTACTCTCAAAGTGCGTGACAGAAGAGGTCAGTATCATTATCCTCATTTCACGGATGGGGAAACTGAGGCACCGATAGGGGTGGTGACTTGACCTAGATCACCACAGCAGGACAGTGGCAGAGCTAGGAATAGAACCCAGGGCTCTTGAGACCAGTCCAGTGCTCTATCCACTAGACAACACTGCCCCTCCCTGTAGACATTCAGCTTTGACCTTTTTAAATATATCACATTCTAGCCTTCATGGTAGCAAAGAAAGCCTTCCAAATGTGACCCAAGCCAATCCATGCTGCAACATCTGCCTGAGTTTATAGAGCTTGAGACAGCAGATCTGAGAGGGGAGAAGCTGCCCTGAGTGTAACCACCACAGCAACACTGCCTGAATCTGCAGAGAGCCTGAGCCAATTGCTCTGAGTGGTGTGAATTGCCCTCCAAGTCAATTTATCTCATTGCAGTGTTCTTTCTAAACCCACATGAGGACATGTTAAAAACGAGCATTAACTATTTAATTGTCATTTCAGAGGCTATATGATAGGAAAGATGGGGGAGTGAAACTCCTGGGGGTTTTGATTAAAGAACTGCCCCTAGGAAGGAAATGCAGAGTGAAGAAGGGAGCAGAAAAATAACCACAGAGAAGGGGAAGAGAAACAGAGAAACGAGGATGGGAGAGGAAAAGCAACAAAGAGCAGGAATAGCAGAGTCCCAAAGAAGAGCAAGTCCCCCAATTCTGTCATGCTGAATGTAACAGTAAGTGACTGACTAAGCAATACATAATAAGAATAATTAAGAGTCTAGTTAGTAAAAAAAAAAAAAAAAAGAAGGCCAGATTCTACCTTGATCTCTGTTCAAACATACCACTGACATCATTGGGATACCAGCTATAGACCATAATTAAAAATGTGGCTCTCTTCTCCCAATGAGTTTGACACCCCTGATTTAAGATGCATGCAGTGTATACAATCAATCACTAGGTGTCACCACTGCCTTGATGTAACCATAAGATGCAAGAGGAGGACTTCACAGAGGCAGGGCACAGACTGGATCAGACCAGGGGTCTATATTGCACTAACTGTGCATGTTTAACCCTTTGAGGCTCTGTTCTGGCTGGACTGGCAATAGAAGGAGCAGGAGGCCCAACAGCAAGGCTGTGGCATTGTAACTGCAGCTAATGTGCGTGAAACCAGAGAGGACAGGGCACGTCATTAGGACAGTTCTAGGTCTGAACGGAAAGCACAGAGATGGGTTACACACTCACCTGACCAGACAATCACTGCGGTAAGGATAACTGCAAGTAGAACTGTAGCTATGACAGCAGCTATGATTTTCCATGCATCACATCTTCTGAACTTGGAGTCAAACCAATTACCTATAAAAGAAGAAGCCATCAGTACTCACTGGGCTGCCCTAGAGGTGAGGATGGGTTACTGGCAACAGGAACATAGGACTTGTCAGACTGGATCAGACCATTGGGTCCATCTCGTCTGCTGTCCTGTCTCTGACTATGGCCGACACCAGCTGCTTCAGAGGAAAGGGCAAGAACCCTGCAGTAGGAGATATGAAGCAGTGCGCTCCCAGGGACAATTCCCTCCTGATCCCATTATTTAGAGGCTGCCTTTAGCTCTGAAGCAGAAGAGATGGACAAACCAGCCTCACTAAATTAAGACACCACCACCATGAAGCTTGATCCGTTTCTAGAAGTCACCCTGCTTTGAAATTGGGACAGTCTCCCGTCTCCCCTTGCAGAGGTGGAGTTCTGACCATTCCCCACCCACTTCGACCTTCTGTAGAGCATCACTGTGGGCTCAGGAGTCTTTAACCCACTCGGCATTTTCATGAATGCCACTGGCAGGCATGACCCTCCTCCCAGATCTTCAGGGGTGCATCTGGGACAGGAAGGTTGCAGAGCCTATAGGAGGAGTGTGGTCCAATGTCAGAGGAGATGGGGCTCTGGGAGAGAGACTTCCAAAGTCTGGATAATTCAGATAATTGGGCTGGGATTTTCAAAAGCACCTGGGAGTTAGGAGCACAAATCCCTTTTGAAAATCTCACCCTTGAATTTATAGATGCTTGTCAGAGCTGAACTCTGAGCTACCAGACGTTCTGCCATCCCTTGTGGTGCTGAGAGACACCCCTGGTGGTCAGTGGCAGCAGTAACAATAGTGAGTGACTTTGGAAAGCACACAAGGGATGATGCCTGAGGGACAGAGCGATGCTACATGAGCAGGAGATGAGCTACAAAAACCCTGGTGATATAAAAAGTGCCTTGGACAGTTGAACTCTGCTAACTGGAAAGAGATTCGGGGCACATCAGGAGCTGGATTTCTAACAGACTGCCATGCTGATATAACAATCTGGCAGTGTGTGTGTTGCATTCCCCTTGGAAAGTAAGAAAAATGCTGCATGAGAATTTACGTATTGGAGTAAAAAATCCAGTGATTTAGACATCTGAATTAGGCTCGTTGCAAATGGGCTAGCGAATGAATAGTAAAAACAGGCATGATTTGGTGATTTAAGGATATTTACTTTGCATATTTTGACAATTTGTGTTTTAATGGTTTATAAAGCTTTAACTTTGGGGGTTTCAATGTCTACTGTCATTCAATAATTGTCTGACAGTCTCATAATTTCCAGCAACCATGAAAATTTAAAATCAATAAAAATAAATGCTTAAAAATAAACAATCGATATCATCCATCACAATTATAAAAAAAACAAAAATCAAATTCTGCCAAGCCTAACGTTAAGCATGTGCTTGAGTGTTTTGCTGGACGGGGGTCTAAGTCCTGAAGAGCCAAAGTTCAAAACCCACTGCTGACTTGGAGCAGGGGAGACAATTACAATAATAAAAAATAAATCATTAAAACTGTGAAATATACAGAAGAAAAGGGCTTACCTGTGCTATGATGTACCACCTGCTCATTGTGAAGCAGATTTAAGGTAACACTGCTATTCATGAATGAGATGTCTGGAACAGGATCAGACACTGAATTTTCAACAAAACAAAAATTTGTAAAGCACATATTTAACTATTTGTGCACATATCAGCCTCTCCAATCCTGACCCAGCTGTTAGTGAAGTGTGTGTGTGTGTGGGGGGGGGAAGCTGATAGGCCCTGCACAGACTAATTAGAGGGGCAAGGAGGTACTGAACTAAACTACTAATTGCTCTCTCCTTAGTCCTTATACCTGTGAAATGTCATATTTGACATCATCAGTAAATATGGTTGTTCCTTTGGCCTGAGTGGTATACCAATATTCACAGGCTTGGAGTGATGATGACTTGTGCCTCCCCAAACTGGGGGGGGAGGGCACAATCTAAAGGGGAGGACATGTGAATGCCCCATGTGTCTCCTCTGCCCAGCAATCCCTGCACCCAGCCCAGGGCCACCACGCTCTCCATGCCTCATATTACCTTCCGGGGCGAGGGAGGGAACTCTGTCCTTTTCCCGCCACACCACTCCCTCCCCCCCAGCACATTTAGCCATTCTCCTTTCTCAGAAATCCCCATGTCTGCCCTTCCAGTGAACTTTGTGCCCAAAAAGCTCTGTCTCTCTGCTTCCTCTCAGGATAACTCTCACATATGCTTGTCCAAGCTTCCTGCTGCCAGCACACCCAGGCTACAATAAATATACTTACTAGCCCCTACATTTGCAACCAGGGAAGACCTCAGCCCACATAACTCAGCTGGGCAAGTGCCATGTGCCTAATCCCATGGGTAATGCCTACAACTCTGCATCTCTCTTTATGCGCCTTTTGTTGAGCCTGAAGGAGAGTGCTTGGCAAATCCACTGGCTTTAACAAGGTCTGTGATTGTCTTTGGATCAAAGTCTCACCTGATGGCACCCATTAGTAGCTTTCAGCATAACAATTTAGTACCAAAATACCCCAAATATCTCCCTTTACCTATGGCTTCCTCTGGCTCAACATTTATGGAGTCAGTTGAATTATTCTGTTTGAGAGTAGGGACAACTACTTGTTCCTCACAACTGTGGAGAAAAAATATGTAGATACATTCCAGTTACTTGTTATAGTGTGAGAGATGGTTGAGAATTCAGATGTGTAATGGGGGGTGGGGAGAATTGATTTCCCCCCCCCCATTTTTTTTTTCATTTTGAGCTGGGCAAAAAATATTTAAATGTTTAGATAAAAATTTTGCTTGGAATTCTAACAAAAAAAACACCCCAAACAAACAGAAATTCCCACCCACTCCCCACATACACACAATTTTAACCAGTTGTTTTTCAACCAGTTCTATGTTCTGTTTCATGCAGTCAAAGCAAAATATGTGGGATGCTGAAAAACTGTTCACTCTAAAATGATTTAGTTGGGATTTGGTCCTGCTTTGAGCAGGGGGTTGGACTAGAACCTCCTGAGGTCCCTTCCAACCCTGATATTCTATGATTCAATGATTCTATGAGAAGGTTAAGGCCAGCTGTGTGTCCAAGACTCAGCAGCGCAGGGGAGGGACATAAACCACACTGACTTCAACAAGCATTGTATCTGCCCTGTAGTGAAGTGTGACAGAAAGGAGAAGACACTTACCTGTCTGAGTTGTATTCACCATCCTAGAAAGAAAAGAACACAAGTCACCCCATGGAGGTCCCTTGTGATCTGCATCTCAGTTCACAGGTCGATTGTTACAAGAAATTACACATGGTTTGGTATCTTTGGTCAGGAATTTTCTATCGACATTATATTTCAATTTTGGTGAAAATTTTTGATTTTTTTCTATTGAGAAAATCAAAATGAAATATTTTGTCTTGGGTTGGTTTGACCCAAATTGAAACACTTCAGTTTGGTGAATTGAATCAAAACATTTTGTTTCAAGTCTGTTTGAAATTAAACAGCATGTGCCTACCATGCTCTGATGCCTCATGGGAGTTGTAGTTAAGGTGCCTCTTGCCCACTTTCTCTCCTATGGGCCAGGCACCTTGGTTGGACTACATGTCCCATGATGCACTGCATTCCCCCCGCTGACTGAGCCACATGGTGCATCATCAGATGTAGTCCAAAAAGGGGACCAGCCCCATAAGGGAGAATGGGGACGTGAAGAACACAAACTACAGTTCCCATGAGGCACTGCAGTCAGTGGCAGATGCAGTTTAATATCGAAACTGACCAGAAATGAAACGTTTGGACATTTCCAAATCAAAATTTTTCAGAACTTTCCATTCAGTGAAAAAAATTGGATATTTTGACTTTTCATCCTGATTCAAGATGAAAACAAATGTGGAACTATCAAACAGAAATACTGACTTTCACTCGGCCCTAATAATAATATATGGAGATATACCTATCTCATAGAACTGGAAGGGACCTTGAAAGGTCATCAAGTCCAGCCCCCTGCCTTCACTATCAGGACCAATTTTGCCCCAGATCCCTAAGTAGCCCTCTCAAGGTTTGAACTCACATCCCTGGGTTTAGCAGACCAATGCTCAAACCACTGAGCTATCCCTCCCCCTACTGCAAGCATATCATTGACATAGTTAGATTCCACCTGTAGTACTTTTATCACCTGCCACAGAGAATCGATTTACACTAGTGATGTCCCTAGTGGACTCAAAGGGCCAGATCTCAACTGGTGTAGACCACAGTAACTCCCCTGACTTCAATCCATTTGTCTTCAATTGAGTTACACCCATTTACACCTACTGTGGATCTGCTCTAGACTTTCTGATGACCACTAAAGCCCATTCCCGGCACCTACCTCCCTGAACGGCCACAGAATACAATACCTCACAGTTCAGCAGGCAAACAGAAGTGTCCTCTTGTTTAAGGTTGTCAGGCACATCCTCCGTTGGGTCTTCACCACTCACTTGTCTTTGAACCTCAGATGAGAGGTTTTCAAGAAGACCCAATTCCGGAGCCAATTCTGGAGCCAAAAAGAGAAAGACTGAGAATCAAAACCATAGTTTGTGCAATATTTTAACAGTAAGTTTTCTGGAGCAGGGACTGTCACTGACACAAAGGGTCCCTGACCTGGTTGGCCTCTAGGAGTTACTAGAATATAAATGTTAATAATAAATGAGGAAGACTTCAAGCTCTGTTCATTGATGTGGCATAATATTGTTAAAATAGGCTCATGAGGGCCAATTATTCTGTTTCTGTGTTGGAGGGAGGATGGGTATTGAGCGTTAAACTACCTTTGCACTGCCTATATTTTGGGTTTATGCAGGGGCTGCCCACTGTAGGATTAGATCAGTATATAAAGGGTTAAAATAGCTTGGCTAAAGCAAATCCATGCTTTGCAGTTTGTGTGAAGTGCAGGTCATGTTAGCAGTGGTGGGAAGGCCTTGAAAAAATGTGGCTTAGTTGGAAAAATTGGACCTGGAAGGTAACTGATAAGATGGGAGGGCGGGGGGGAGGAGTGGCAGATTTGGGGCCTATGGAAAATCCCCCGCCATGGCCCCAGGCTGGAGGAGCTCTCACTACTTGCCGTGGCCTCAGGGCTTTTCTGGTCTCAGAGTCATATAGGGTGACCAGATCACACAGGTGAAATATCGGGACGCGGGGGGGTGGAGAGGAAAAAAAACGCAGCCGGAGCTCCACGCCCCACCCCGCACCAGTTTGCCTCTGCTCCGTCTCCAGTGATACATCTGGGTCTAATTCCGGGGTTAGGAAGATTTCAGAAAACAGATAAAGAGGAACGACCCAGCACATGCGTTACCGTAGTGAGGAGGGCACACAAAGTGCCATCACACCTCCTTTTGTACCAATTCTTCAGACACACCCACAGACTTCCACGCAACGCACAGCGCTACGGAAACGCGCTGTGACTGGAAGTTTGCAGCCTCACTGAGGAGCGCGGCGGTGACTCCCAGCGCTGTGCCGGCGGAGAGCCCCGCCGCGCCCCCCACCCACACAGGGAGCGTCCCTGGCTGGCTCTCCACCGGGCTGCATCGACGACACAGCCCGGGCCAGAGAGCCGTGGCCCAACAGGAGGCGCGCGCGGTGTGCCCCACCACGAGCCGGGGGCAAGCCCCACAACGTGACAGCCGAGCAGCTCCCTCCCGCCGCAGGCGTCGGAGCCCTATTGATGCGGGGAGCTCAGCGGCAGCAACAGGCCCTGGTGCCCGGCGGAGAGAGCTCCCTGGTGGCGGGGGAGGCGATCGGCTCCCGCTCACCCCAGCGGGGATGCGCCCCGGCCCCCTGTGTGGGAAGAGACGGGCACTGTCCCCGCAGCCGCCCAACCAGAGCTGGGGGGTGGGGTGGGGGTTAGTATCTGCAGTCCCTGCCCAGCTGGGCTCTTACCACAAACACGGAGCTCCGCACCGCCTCAGAGACGCTCTGCCGCAGCTCGGCTGCCATGCCCGGCTTGCTGAGCGCCCGGGTGAACTTCCGAGTCTCCGGGGGAACCAGCGCCTGCAACATGGCTGCTGCCGCCGCTGCCTCACTGAGCTCCCGGCCCCTCACTCCGCGGCCCCCCGGGCTCCCATAGCCTGCTCTGCCTTGCGTCACGGGCCCTCACCTAGGCACACAGCAGCTTCGACCTCCCAATTTCCCTGTCCTCACCACCTCCCCCCTCCTTCCAGCGCTTGCGCCGCCATACAGCTGATCAGTGCAAGCCTGGGAGGGGCGGGGAGGAGGAGGAATGCGGCATGCTTGGGGAAGAGGCAGGGCCAGGGCGGGGATTTGGGGAGGGATCCAATGGGGGAAGGAGGTGGCGGAGTCAGGGGGGCACGAGCCCCCTCCGGGCTATGCCTGTGCGCCCCCTCCGGCCTACGCCTGTGCGCCGGAGCAGAGGCAAAATATCGGGACAATTCGCGTCCCGACCGAAGGTAGGTCGGGACGTGGGACAAACAAGCAAATATCGGGATAGTCCCGATAAAAATTGGGATGTCTGGTCACCCTAGAGCCATAGGAAGAGGTTGGAGGGGGGGCATGGAAAGGAGAGAGTGCGGGGGGAACCTCGGGAGGGAAGAGGTGGAGTGGAGGCAGAACAGGGGCAGGGCTGTGGGGGAAGGGGCCGAATGGGGACAGTGGGCAGAGTAGGGATGGGGCCACAGGGAAGGGGTGGAATGGGGCTGGGGATGAGGGGTTTGGGGTGTGGGAGGGGCCTATGCAGAGGGTTGGGATGCAGGGGTGAGGGCTGCGGGGTGGGGCCAGGGATGAGGGGTTCAGGGTGCAGGAGGGGACTCTGGACTGGGGCAGGGGGTGGGGGGGGGGGGGGGGGGGGGCTCTGGCTGGGGGTGTGGACTCTGGGATGGAGCTGGAGATGCGAGTTTGGGGTGCAGGCAAACTGCCCAGGGGCTGGGGCCAGAGAGGAGGACTCCCCCTAGCCCTGTCCCTCTCAGCAGCACATTCACCTCACACCACTGTCACTGCACGTGCTCCTAGGGCCCCTCTCAGGTTCAGGAAGCCCCCTCACCTCCTCTGTGGTGGGTGCCAGGGCGGGGGGGGGCTGCCATTATGTGTGCACCTCCTTCCCTGCTGCTGCCCCTCACCATAGCCTCACTGGGGATGGGGCTGCCCCTTGCCCAGCGTGGGGCAGGAGCCGTGACTGTGGTCCCGCTGTGCTGGTGGAGGGTCCGAAATGAAGTGAGGTCTACAGAGAGCCTGAAACAAAAGCTCTGAGGGACAATAACTCCCTTCTTTAGTCTCACTGATTGTTGACCCTGAAGCCTAATGATTACAATTTGTCAGCACTGGCACTAGTGGAGGAGGGAGGCGCTAGGATCCTGCAGCGGCAGTTGATGCCGGGAGCTGGCAGAGCGGAGTGCAGCGGGGAGCTGGAGGGGCAAGCCATGCACTGCCCAGGGTGCAGGCGGGGGACGCACTGGGGGAGGCGCAAGGGGGCAGCAAGTGGGGCCGGGGGAGAGACTTGGCCCCGAACATTGGTGGAGCCGGGCCCCAGGTTCTGAATATTGCTGGAGCACGGGTACCATGGGTCCATATAACTCGCTGCTCCTGACGGGGGTGGGGGGCGCTGAGAGCAGTGAGCGGGGGCGTGGCCTCAGTTGGAAGAGGCGGGGGAGAGGGCTAGCCTCCCCAAGGGGAAGTTTCACCCGCCTCCTTTATACCTAACCAGGACTTGAGCGTGACTGGGATTCTAACCCTCACTGATCACTACTGGGAACCACCCTAGCAAATATTTTAAAATTCAAAGACCCCTCCCCCTCAAGTATACTTAGCTTTCATTAATTATTAGTAGTAGTAGTAACATTACCGTTACAACTTTACCTCTAAAATTTTTCAGCAGATCACATAGAACTTTCTGGCTTTCAGAGAGAGTCTGCACTCTGCTCTCCAGTTCAGTCAAAGACTCAACAGGTGCCTCCTCTTCACCTTTCACCTGCTCACACCTAACACAGAAAGAACGAGGTTCCTGTCAGAATACTCGGTCCTAATTGCTGAATCCACTCAGCGGGAAGACAGGACACGGGGGCTAGCACAAGCTCTGAGCATGCTGGCCCGGTATGTTATTTACAGCATCTAACAATGTAAACTTGGAAATTAAAAGGAACATGGAACATGAGGGGGAGTCTTCACCCGGGACCCCCAGGCTCAGCCCCTGCCTGGGCCTCCTCTCCTCAGTTCGGGGCCACTCCTGCAGTTGCTCAAGATGATGATCTTTACTGAGCAGACTGTTCACCCCTGTTGTCCCATATCATAAGACTATTCAAGCCACATTAAGCAGCATCTTCATTCCTAGGATTCATGCTTCGGAGGACAAGCCAATCTCTAGCACAGGGGTGGTCAAACTACGTCTCGCGGGACCGTCCTGCCTGGCCCCTCCCGTTGTCCCCCTTCCCCCGGAGCCATAACGCCGCACGGGCAGCGCTCTGGGTGCGGGGCTACGCACAAAAAGTTTGCCCACCCCTGCTCTAGCAGTTAGGGAGGGAACTTCCTCTGGGGCAGGTTATCCCATAACTGGCCACTAGGGGAGACTTGCATCTCTCTCTGAAGTATCAGAGTGGTAGCCGTGTTAGTCTATATCCACAAAAACAATGAGGAGTCTGGTGGCACCTTACAGACTAACAGATTTATTTGGGCACTGGCCACTGTCGGAGATGGGATACCGAGCTAGATATGCCCTTGGTCTGATCTGCTCTGGTAATTCTTACATTCCTGTGATGCTTTCCCTGTTCCATCCTCTTAGCCACTAGGACGATGAGGTAGGAGGGGCATTATACATTTCCAGCTGGGCTTTGCAACCTTTCCCAGTGTGATGAAGCATGAGGCTGATTAAGGAGACACATACCTGCTTAAGGTGCTGTCAATGTCCTAGAAAGGGAAAAGGAAACAAAAAGAAACTCAGCTCATCTGCCACAAACCTAATATCCCTCCTAGGCAGAGGACTCACTTTGCCTTAAATTTTGGTTCCTATAGGAAGTTGGGCATGTTTGAAAACTTCATGCGTGGGTCTGTTCTCTTCCCAGCTTTGCCAGTGCCCTGCTGGGGAATCTTCGGCAAGTGACTTGCTCTCCCCTGTGCCTCGGTTTCCCCAGCGATAGTGATCCTGACCTTCCTCTGGAAAGTGCTTTGAGACCTACCAATGAAAAGCTCTATACAAGAGTCAGGTGTTGTTATTAATTATTATTACTGTTTATGTCAGAGCTAGTTGAATTTTTTTAGATTTTGACCTTTTGATGACATGGGAAATTTTTGCAGGATTTCCCCCTCTTATTTTACCACCATGGAGTAGGAGAGAAATACATTTGATATTTTGAATTTAAATATTAAAAAAACAAAATCAAGGAAAAATGTATGATGCCGTTCTCCCTCTCCCCCATTTTTATTCAACCATCTCTACCATTTATCAAAGCTGTCTAACTCCATCTGTCTGTCTATGGCTATGGCAGGGCTGTCAAATATCTGGTCTGCTTGATATAGTAATGGGGCCCGCATGACATATGCATATACTGCAGAATCTCAGCCTTGATTAGAAAAAAAAAGTACATTTACAGGCTTTGTGGATGCTAAAAACCTTTCTAAAGATGATAAAAGTGTGACCAATGGAGTGAGGACTACAGAGAGTTTGAAACAATAGCTCTGAGGGGAAAGAACTCCCTTCTTTAGTCTCACTGGTTGTTGCCCCTGAAGCCTAATGATTACAATTTGTCAACACTGACTATTTCATTGCTGATCATTTTAACAGATGAGAAAGAGAAGAGGGCCGGAGAAGCTCACAGAAAGAACTGGAAAGTGTATCTGTGTGTTTGACTGCGGGTTGGAATCAAAACAGCTCATGTGTAAGTGTGTGAGACTGTTGGATAGAATCAGACTAGCTCTATTCATGGGTGTGTGTGTGTGTGTCACAATTTGATGCAATATATAAAGATCCAGTAACAGTTTTATACTGCATTTAATGTCATGGCACCTGAGCACCTCAGACACATGCTTGTCCTGTATATAGTACACACAGGGCCAAAATCAGACACCATGTAAACAGTTGGGCTGCAATGAAATCAAAGGCCTACACGCTTTAGGCAACTGGAAAAGTCTGCACACTTCTGTACAAGTTTGTTCCCTCAACAGTTCCCTGCACTTGACCTTTGCTAGTTATACTGTAAGTTCTTCAGGGCAGGGACTGTCTCTCGCTGTGTGTCTGTGCAGCGCCCAGCACAACGGGATACTGATCTCAGCTGGGGCAGGGACCGTCTCTCGCTGTGTGTCCATGCAGCGCCCGGCAAGAGTGGCCAGGTGTCCGGTTTTCAACCAAACACCCGGTCGAAAAGGGACCTTCCCCAGCCCAGTGAAAATGAGCGAGTGAGTGAGGGTGGGTGAGAGTGAGCAATGGAGGGAAGGGGGATGGAGTGAGTGGGATGGGGCCTCGGAGAAGGACCAGGGCAAAGGTGTTTGGTTTTGTTCGGTCAGAAACTTGGCAACCTTATTCCTGGCACAACAGGGCCCTGATCTCAGCTGGGGCAGGGACTGTCTCTCACTGTATGTCTGTGCAGCACCCGGCACATTGGGGCCCTAATATTGACCGAGACAGAGATTTTTAGAGGTATTTAGGCATTGCTAGGCTCAGCACTGCAACACCCAACTGATTTAGGAATGTAAGTCTCTTTCAAAAGTGATTTAAGCACGTATGAGCCTAAATCCCATTGACTGTTGGAAATTTTTTTGACCTGTCTTACCTTGAGGAGTTCAATCTCTGGCTGCTGCCACTTCTGTTTTATCTCAGCTAACAGGTTATCGAGATGTAATAGCCCCTCAGAACATCTGTTGGTATTTTTATTCCTTGTCTTCACAAGGTCCTGTATTCTGCCTTCCAGGTGGTTACGCATGAGTTGCTCTCCCTGCTTCAAAATCTGGCACACTTGCTTGAATTCAGACACAATCTCCTGCTTCTGGAGTTCTGCCTGTTTCTGTCATGAACAGATATAAACAAGGCCATGACATAAAGTGAAGCAGGATTCCCAGGTCCCCCTCCCCAGTAGCAACCGCATTTCAGCTGTGAGCGACTGAGCCCCGTTAACACAGGGCAGAACTCTGTGGGGCAGATGCTCAGCTGGTGAGCACAGCCCTATGGCCCTTACATGTCAAACTGGAGCCAGTCTTACTTGGAGGTATCTAAACACAATTTTCAGTATAGGGTGACTGGCTGCAAGATTTTTCTAGGGACCCTAGATCCAAAAGAGAAGGAATTCAAAAAGCACTTAATTAGGCCCCCCCATCTTCCACTGAAGGTACTTTTGAAAAAATGTACCTATACTCTGGCCCCAAATCCCCAGTCCCAAGATTTTCAAAAGTAAGAATTTAAAGTTAGGCTACTGAGGGCTTGTCTACACTACTGGCTGGATCAGCTCGCAGCGATCGATCCAGTGGGGGTCGATTTATCACGTCTAGTAAATCGACCGTCGAGCGCTCTCCCGTCGATTCTGGTACTCCACCAGAATGAGAAACCGTGGTAAGTAGATCTAAGTACAGCGTCAGCTACGCTATTCACGAAACTGAAGTTGTGTATCTTAGATCGGTCCCACGCAGTAGTGTAGACAAGCCCTAAGTCTATATTTAGTACAGCTGCCTGGGAACTGGAATTTATATTCCACAGGAAATTCTGACATTTCAAACAAAAATATCCCATTCTGAATAGGAACTAAAAGCCGAAATTTCAAAATTTCCCATGAAATAAACATTCTGAAAAAGTGCATTTTGAGAGTGTTGGTTGAGGCGTTTTGTTTTGACTTTAATATTATTTAAATATTATGTGCATATATTATACATACATAACATTAACCATAATATTGTCATGGGTGTACAAACCCCGCACTGGCCAGAAAGGGGTTAAGGAACTCCTATGGGCTCCAGCAGCCCATCTTGTCACACCTGCAAGGTGTGTCAGGCCTAGAAGAGGAAACCCAGTTCATCACTTAGCAGCTGCCCTGGGAAGGAAACATGCCTCCAAACCCAGCTGCCAGAGAAGGGCTGAGCTGACAATGGGGATTGTTCATGTGACTGCTGTCAATCTAACACAACCCCAGCTGCACCCAAGTGGGGTAGTTCCCTGTGTGATGGCAAATTGCAAGATGTGAATGGGAGTGTTTAAAATGATTGTGATGAGGAATCCTCTCTGCTAACTTACACGCCCTCTTTTGGCTCCAAATGGTTTGTAGCTGTTAAATCCTGGATTTACACTAATTGCTATTTAGGCTTCCAAATAATTAAGCTAGCTATGGTGCTTCTCTGGGCCCCATCACCTGAGCACCTCACACAACCGCTGGGAGGTAGGGCAGTGCTATTGTCTCCATCTTACAGAGAAGCTTTAAGAGGTTCGATTTTTCAAAAGTGCTGAGCACCCAGCAGCTCCCATTGACTTTAATGGGAGTTGTTTTGGTGCACAGCATTTTGAAATGCAGAGAGGAAGGAGGGGCAGCCCAACCCCACGCACCTGTGGGGTCTGTCGAACCCGCAGAGGGGCTGCTCCTTCAAAGGGGGCTCGTAGGCCATGCTGGCATCCAGCGGAAAGCAGAACTACAGCCCCTCAGCCCCACAGAGCCCAGAGAGCTACTGAAAAGCATCTGCCACCTGGATCCTCTGGGGAGGGAGAGGGACCATCTTTACTTTGTTCTGTCATTAGAGCCCTGAGGGGACACACAGTGGGTTAGGAGCCCAGCCCCACTTCAGAGACTAGTTACCTTCCTCCCTGTGAGGAACAGCGGGGGGAGCCTGGACTGGTTTATGGGCTGGAGGATTATTTTGTTTGCCTTTTTTTATTTTGGACAAAAACAGAAGGGAGGAAGCTGCCTTCCTAAGACATACAGCCAGAGTGTGCACCCCACACTGACTCCACAGCCACTCCTACAGCCAGGGAAGGACATCTGGGATGAGAGATGCACCCTCTTACCCCAAAGGGGCGCCCTAGAGGTACATCCTATGACAGGAACTAGTTGTCAACACTGGTGACTATGAAGAGAGGACGCTTACCAGTAGAGTTTGATATTCCGTTTCTTCAGCAGCTGCCCGTCTCTCTCGTTCGTCTCTCACACATTGAAAATGATTCTGATGACTCAGAAGCTGCTCCTGCAGCAATACCAAAGAAATTGTCAGCTTTAAAAGTGCCCTTAGAAATACCCATCAGCCTTAAAAAACAAATCCTTGAAAGGCCATGTTTATTAGGCTTGTGCCCCACACTTCTTTATGACGGCTAAAGAAAGCATGGAAGTGAGAGAGGTTGTTTGTTTGTTTTGTACTGTTGTGGGGTTTTTTTGGGGGGGGTGCATTAGAAATATTAGGGGGGCTTCCTGTGATGAGCTGTTCAACCCACACTTGCCTTAAAGGGATTAATGGAGGCTCAGAAAGGGGACAATTAACCAGACAGGCTCAGCTGAGGGCAATCAGGTGGTGTAAGAAATCCCCTGACTGAATAATGAGAGAGCCCAGCTGAAGCGGAAGGAGCTGTGTTCATTAAAGACAGGAAGTGGTAGCAGAGAGAGGTGGCTACAGAGACAGTTTCTGCACTCACTCCCGGGGAGAAGGGAGGGCTGTTTGCATAGGTGCCATTTTAGGTTTTGGTAGGGAGTTTCTCCCTGTGGATGAGAAGAGGGAGAGAAGCTATTAAGGGGGTGGGGGCAAGTGCCAGGAGCAAAGGAGTGTGCAGTTTGAAGGGGAGGGGGAAACAATTAACAGTAAAACTGGTCCAAAAAAATTCATCCACTTTTTGGGGGAGGGGAGGCTTTTCAAAAAACTTTTTTTTGCAGGAAAAATCAAACTGAAATTCTTTTGTTTTTGTTTTGAAAATCAGAAACAAAACCATTAAGTTTAAACTTTTTGAAAACTGGCATGTTCTCACTGAAAAACTAACACTTTTGTGGGATTTTTTGGTTTTTTTGGTTAGAATTTTTTTATCCAAAATCTCCCCGGAAGGAGGGGTTTTTCTTCAACCAACTGTGGTTAGGAAGAACAAGGACTAAGGTGGCGGGGGGGAGAGAGAGAAGGGGAAAAAGGGGGGGGCGGGATAAAGTAGAAAAACTCAGAGGTGGAAATAAGGCAATAAAATAAATATATATATATATATATATATATATAAATATAAAATTAAAGCATTCAGAGAATAGGCCTGTAGAAAGAATTAAAAGGGACCTAGAGAGGTAAAGACTGTCTATTCCTAGGCCTTCTACAAGTAATGTACACGTGTGAAAAATGGATATCAATTGCTACCATTCTGATCGAACAGTGTTTTACACCCATTTTGTTCTGATGTAAATGACTGAGCAAAGTGCAAAGCAGGGCGGAGTTGTGTCCAAATCAATCTAGCCCCGTCTCTGATTTCTATCCAAATTTCCTACCTTACACTCCTTTGCAGCTGCCTCGATGGGGATGACTGTGTGAACTTTGTGTTCTCGAGACTCTCTGCAAACCCTGCAGAGGAGGGTCCGGTCCTCTTTGCAGAAGAGTTTGAAAACTTCTTCATGTTTCTTGCATTTTCCTTCTAGGCCTCTCGCTATGTTCACCACCGCCTCCAGCTGCCTGTTAGGCCTCAGCTCCCCCTCGGGGAGAGATTTCCTGCATTGGGGGCAAAGTCCCGTGCCCGACGCCCCCCAGCAGTCGGTGATACAGGCTTGGCAGTAATTGTGCCCACAGTCTAGAATCACTGGGTCTTTAAAGGACCCCAGGCAGATGGGACAAACCAGCTCATCCCGGAGCTCCTGTACAGGGTGTATAGCTGACATGGCTGCTGTGAAAAAGAACAAACTTTACTTTCACTTTCCTCTGCACTCGTGTTTGTTCAGAATTGGAACTGGTCCCCGCCCTTCCTGTAGCTTTGCTGCAGCTCTTGCAAGGGGGAGGGGGAGAAATAGCAGAGAGCTGCATAGGGTTGTCATCCCTGAGAGACAAAAAACAGGGACATCTGGGATGATCCTGGCCTCATGCAACAGTTGGCAGAGTGTGTACTGAGCATCTGTATAGATTTCCCAGGACAGCTATCTCCAAAAAGGATGATGATTGGAAAACCTGGATAGGTAGCAACGAAGCTGCATGAAATAACAGAGCACGGAGAAGCACTGTCCCCTCATCTTCCCCTGTTACTGAACCAAGCCCAAGACACCGCGGAAAGAAATTAAAACATGGATAATGAGGGCTATTTTACTGTAGTGGAGATAGGGTGACCAGAGAGTAAGTGTGAAAAATTGGGATGGGGGTGGTGGCGCCTATGTAAGGAAAAGCCCCAAATATTGGGACTGTTCCCATAAAATTGGGACATCTGGTCACCCTACGTGGAGGAATTCCCTGCTGTGACAAAGTGGGACAAATGATTCTGTGGTTCAAAACAAGAATTAGACATGATGTGGATCGGCCGTAGCTCCATTGGAGTCAATGAGGCCAGATCCCAGCTGGCTATAGCTCCAT